GTATGCCTTTCGACATCCTAAACCTGCATGCGTCCAGATGAGCCAAACTATTTGAGTGAAATCAGTCACAGAAAAATGTAGTAGGAGTGTATGAAAAGTATCGATATTCACAATTCAAGAAATCATTTACATGTAATATGCAATTAATGACTAAATTTGCAGTATTTTACACCATATTTCTATTGTGTTACTAAAGCACAAGGACTATCTGTGCATATTCGGACCCAATTGTGGTACATGTGTTCACTTGACAATAGTTTAAATGTAATATGTATTATAAGCATAATAAGGAACATACGAGCATTAATATTTAACTGGTAGTATGCTGCTTTAATAATGACAAATAAAACTTTGCTTTATTTTTAGAATATAATATACACAATCGTACTTTTATCCAACTCTTTTATCATCCATACGACAAATTATGTGTCCCAGTAGTATAAACGCCGTAAATCGTTCAACTCAATAAGGGTGTAGCACTTCAAATAGAAAACAGAGTAGGTGTTGAGGCTTATATCATGACATGAAACCGTATTTGCCTTATAATGGTCTCTTGTTAGGCGCAATATTGTTTAACACGGTTAATTAAATCATTATGTCTTCAACATACTCTCAAAAAGGGCAAGCAGGTGTAAATGAAAGAATTGTGTTTAAAAAAATATGTTTAAACACATTCAATTTGGTGTATAATATGATTGTGTGGAAGATCACTTTTATCAAACTTGTATAACTACAACGATTACTTTCTCAAGCTTTCGAAAATAATTAAACTTTATTTTTTAATCTAACAAAATTATAGGGACAAGAACGGATGCTATATAACTGGCTTTTCATCTTTTCTTTGTGTAAATGCCTCTATCGGCATCAACGTTATCTAATAAACAGGAAATAACTTTTAGTGTTTTTATAAACTCCAATAGCTTATAAATTTTATTTATTTGAAGGAGAAAATAATGGGTGTTTTGTGATAAAGTCATTTACATATAGACTATCTATTTGAATTAGAGTAGGTTCGGAACATATTTCTATTTATTAAGTGTAAAATGTTCTAATAAAGTTGCGATGAAGATATGCATTTAAATAAGATGTGTTGCGAAACATTGTTTATCACATACATATAGTATTACGTATTACATTGTAAGTATGCATCACACTCTTTTTTACATAATATGTGCATTACATAAGCCTAAGAAAACAATGTTTATAAACTATAACACAAACATATCTTAAGATAAAAAAAGTCTTAATTCGCTAATATTGATAGATATACAGTGTCTTTCATAACTATAACAACTAATATTATAATTATATAAGATAAAATGCATCTAATATTCAGATGATGCTAGCAATAAGTGTGTTACTGTAACTTTATAATTAATACTTCTCCATATGTTAGTATTAATGATCGTTTTGTTTTATAATGTTCATCTATTTAGTCATCAAATTGACATTAAAGTATGGATCAAAGTATATTGAATAGTTAAGCATCGCCCTGGTTAGGGTCTAAAGTGATTAAAAGGACAAAACCTAGCTGTCGTATGGACACATCCGGGGATTTTTCTAAATTCAAACTTTCACCGCGTTCATATTTAAATGATACTTTCTGTTAAATTCTATACTAGGGGCGTGGACGGGATTTACAATATATTTATGTCTACATGTATGAACAATCATACCTTTTCAATATTGCCGTTTTGGGCGTTGTTTGAGATTCCAATTTTCACAATATGACTAAGTCTTAATAATCAGCAAATTCACATGATCCTGCGTTATTATCAGAACATTTAATTTTCATATCAAAGATAACTAGCAAAAATGCTAAAGTGATATATATTTAATATGTACCGAGGTGATGTACGTCAGAATTTGAACATTATGTTAAGAATAAATTGCTGTAGACATTACGAAATCCGTCTATTAATACTAACTGATCTGCGTTGATTTTAGATTTGTAGGTAAACCATTTTGAGTTTTATGAACTTTCATCTCGGTATTTTTTCACTTAATACTTTAAATCTTATGGTGAAAAATGGCGACTTTCGTATCAAACTCATACAATAACAATAACTTTGAAAGAGTTATAGTTATTGTGGTTCCTTATGTAGATATTTAACAAAATAATACCGTTTTCATATGTTCATAGGTTTAACTAATTAAAAGTGAAATCTACTGTTTTCGTTTTGGAATGGAAACATCGAATAAACGGAAACTTTTATATTTACGTGTATGTTTAGCCGAATGAGTCCAAATGACAAGGTTTTTGTGTTTGCACATTCTTATAAAAATCAAATAATAAAAACAACAACCGGAAAAGGACTTTATAAGAGGTAAATTTCATAAATCAAGCCTACGGTAACATTGCCTTTGTATTTCATTGGCAGAATGTTCATGGTTTTGTCAGGTAGTTAATTGATACTTTATATTTATTGACAATAATAATAGTGTGTCCAGTACAAACCCAGTCTCACAGCTGGTAGGAGCCAAAATCAATTAACAGAAGACTATTATGTTATTATAAAGTGTCAATAAATTATAAAAAATGAAATTAGTTTCAAGCTAGTATCGTTAAGATATGTACTTTTGAATATTATCATATCAGGCTCATCAGCTTAAATACCTTCCAATAAATTGTTTGGCTAAAACTGTAAAATACGTAAAGCGTTATGTCAGAAATGAAATACTATAGACAAAATACCAGACGCATTAATCCTATTAAAAAATGGACATTATGCAAACACGCGAACATTGATATTCACATATAAATAATCAAAGTGAAATGGGTTTTCATGGACCATTGTCTCAGCAAGTAAGACAAAAACACTTATCATAAACCATGTAAACAGTGAATTGCACTGGCATACAGCGTGATAAAATGTTATATCATTTATAAGCACTGAGAAACAATAAGCTAGATATTGTAAATATTCAAATAAATTATGAGATATATGTTATTGAAAGACTAGTTGTTTTTCACCAAAAAAAAGACATATTTGAGCATATAGCTACACATGTATATGTTTTGTTTTCAAATAATGATTTTATGACATCATAATCGAATAGTGTTTTGAGGTAAAAGCAAATTAATATTTATTTAAAACATGACTGTACATGTGTATATTAATCCCTGAAAGATTTGCATGGTGTAACAAGTACTGTAAGTGTCACTTTCAGGCTACAAGTATAATCTGCTTATTGCACTCGATTTTAAATTCTCCATTTATTTCAGAATCATAGACAAAATATTGAACGTATTCTGCAAATCAATTCAAACATCCTACAAATCTATCGGCTTGCTTTTCGTTTTGCCTGTCATATCTTCTTCTTGTCAAAATAGTGCAATGTCTACTAGTTATTTAAACTATTGTCAACAAAATGAATTTAGGAAAAAATTACGCAAAATAACTATTTAAATAAATAGATAAATATAACAATATGACACTTATCTGAATGTGTAGAAAAAATAAAAGGAATACGTGTAATTATAAGCGCAAAAATGGCTTTGGTTCTTAACGAGAAAAGAGCTGAAAGTTTGAAAACATATTTGATATAATCATTTTATCATAAACTGTCAAAATTACTAATGCAGATATCAATCATGTGTCTATTAGAACCAATAAAAGGGGGCATTAAAACAATGTCTTATATTTTGTAATGAGTTTGGCAAATGTCATAGATATTTCCTATAAATTCCTAAAAATTACTAATTTGGACTGCAATTTATATGTTCAAATAGAACTGTCAAAATGTCATTTAAGAACATTTTAAGATTGAAAATCACACCTGTTTAGTGAGAACAGGAACGACCGAGAATCTTGGGCCTTCATTTAGATATTCTCAGCCATTTCCCGATAGTTATTGTTTAAATAATAAAATATTTTGAAAGAAACAAAGCATTTGTATTATTTATACCGGTTTCAGCTACAAGCATGTTATAGTTTTTAATTTTGCATCCCAGTGGAATGGACGAGATAAGCCGTCAAAATGAATAAAGAAATGATATTTGAAAGAGACATAAAAAGCGTAAAACTCGTTTTTTAAAGTATTATATAACGTAAGACCGATTGATATTTTAAGGTGTCTTTGACGCGAGACATTTAACTGTCTTTATACTAGGTTTTTTGTCTTTAGCTTATCATCTACAAAGGGTAACGGGTGTTGAATTCAATAATATTGTCGGTTAAGTATTACATAATAAGCCACTTTGTTTGATACACTTGAGTATATATTGATTTCTTTCTTATGTCAACTATAGTCCAAAGGCTTAAAATATTAAGTATGGATTTTTTACATAGATCAACTAAACAGATGCAATTATATTGAAAAATATGAAAAAATAATAAACAATGGGATTTATTAGAAAAATCGTATTTTTATGTGCGATTACTACATAACAAAAATGAGTTAAAGATGAGTTTAAACGATTTTCATCTTCTGTAAGTAAAAAGAACACTCCGAAATATGTCGGAAGGAACTTGTTAACAAGAATGCAGCTTCAAACCCTATTGAAAGAATCTGAAGCGGTTCTTAATTCTAGACCTCTCGTATACTTGGAGGGTGATATAAACTCAAATATAACTATCACGCCAAATCATTTCTTGTCATTTAACCGGAATCTAAGTCTTCCGGAAGTCCAGACCTGTGACAACAATGATGATGATTACGTGCCATTTGAAAACTCTGAGACTGAGATTTTGAAATTATGGAAAAAAGGACAAAAGCTTCTGAACTCATTTTGGCGAATTTGGCGTAATGACTATCTTTTGAGCCTAAGAGAAAGAACGCAATCTATGTTAAAAGCAGGCAAACTACAATCGTCAATAACACCATGTGTTGGTGATGTAGTACAAATAAAGGATGATTGACCTCGAGGATGTTGGAAATGTGGAAAAATAGTAAAATTGCCGTAAAGTTTCGATGGTGAAATAAGATCTGCTATAGTACAACTCCCGTCTGGTCGAATTATAGGTAGACCCTTAAACTTACTGTTTCCCCCAGAAACAATGAATAGGCAAGCTATACCAGATACCTCAACATCAAATAAGAGAAACAATTGTGGTAAGTCCAGTTTAGAAAATATTGGTATTCGTAATTCAGAAAGAAATGCTGCAATGAAAGTAGTCTATATTTTAAAATAAACTTCTCATGAAAAAAATCTTGCTTTTCGTTTATTTCAAGTAGATTGGTAAAATAATGCACCGGCGGAGTATAATCTCTATTGTACGGTGGTAAAACACGCTATACTGAAAAAGCACGTGGAATTGTGAACTAAATGTACATGTAAACCCAAATTAGTTTATATAAGTGCTAATTAATGTGAAACATAATACAACGGGACAATATTTGAAAAGTTTAAACATTGGACCTCTAAAAGTTAACAATGAATAATTACAAAAAATATGACAGAAGGCATTACTGCACGCAGTGTTCTAGAAGTTACAAACAGTATAAAAGCCTAAGACGACATTTCACGCAGGTACATACAAATATAAAACGCTACTCATGTGGAATTAAACAATGCCAAAGCACGTTCATGAGAAAGGGATATTTGAAAAACCACTTAATGAATGTACACCTTTCTCTTTGGGTGAAGCAAAAAAGTTTGTGTTGTTTAGTGAAAGAGGACAAGTGAACTCCTACATGGACACGATTGATAATTTCAACATATAAGTGCTCAAGTCACCTGTGAACAGTAACGTTCAATATAGTGATATATCATCTGATGAGCTGCCACAAAATGACAACCTTGATTTTGGCGATGAACCGGATGTCAGTTTTAGTGGTCAGACGTCTGAGGTGGATCAAAACAATAATGACGTGAATGGAGTTAAAAACGCCAATACAGATGGCGTCGAGGTCATTAGTGACGTTGAGGACGTTGTTGTTAATAATCATAGGGATGATGACGCCAACGTGAATGGCGTCAATACAGAGAGTGAAAATGAGTATGACGCCAACCAAGATGGCGGCAATAGTGAAAATCATTATGATAATGACGCTGAAGATGACGTCAATGAAAGTGATGACTCTAGTGTTACTGATAACGTTAACGTAAAAAATGATGTCAATGATAGCGCAAACGATAGTTAGCTGGATTACGTTGAAAATGACCAATGCAATGATGATGCCATATACGATCATTTTGATGGAAATTACTCGGACACGGATGACGTCGAAGTGATCAACATTACGACCAGCGATGATTGAGAAGACGCCAAGGACGACAGCACCTCGGATCCCCGAGGATGTCCAGACAACGTTATCACTAATGAAACATAGGAGACCCCGGATACAACAGATAATATACGTAGAGTAGTGGTCCGAGAAAGCTTAACTCGAGAGACAGTATAAACTTATAGAAATGACGAAGTGATACATGAGGAAATCTTGTGGTTTGTTCTACAGACGGTCATGTGAACTTTGAAATTTTTGCATTAGTGCTATTCACAAACACTGTATTCAAATTAGAGATATTGAACTGGGTTTAAAAGACATGGGAATATATGATTTAGATATGCATAGTGAAGAGAAACTGTGTTGACTGTAAATAATATAGTTGAAAGTGTGCCTGTTTGATTTAGATAAATCATGTGTATATAGTGAGGGAATTATTTAATTCATGACTTTGAATTTTGAACTTATGTAGATACTTGTATATATTAACAGTCAACGTAATTAAAGCTTATTCGTATATTGATTAATTGTGTTAAGGAAATGCTTATATCATTATGATTTGAATTTAAAATGTTGTATACTTTTTGGTTGTTTAAGATTCTGATTAATATTTTCTCCGTGGGGAGTGTCGCGAATTTAGCGATATTTTTTACATTTCTATTTATTTTTGTGCTTATAATTTAGTTCAGTTGTATAGTTTCACCGTCGGCTTCATATATCGTGCATTGCATGAGTTATTCTTTGCTTCTACTGAAATTGTATTCACGTAAACAAAAGTTCTATTGTTAAAGTTTCCCGACGGTGCCACTGTTCACGATATTTTCTAGAGCCTCACTCAAATATTTTAATCCCTATTGTTCTGCCTCCCCGACGGCGACGCATTTCCACGTAATTTTGTATTATACTATTGTTCTATTTGTGCTATATAAATAAACAAAACTTTGGAGAAAGATTGGATAAAAAGTGAATTGTATAGGCCTACGCAATATGTAAGTTTGTGTTGGATATATCTTATGAGTAAAATAAAATCTATTATTTGTTTGAAATAAGTTAAAATTGGAAGTAAAATAAAATAAGCAAATTAATATCAAAAAAGTGTGTTTGTTCATTGTCTGAATAATTAAACTAAAATGGATAAAAAGGATAATCACGACATTGATGTTGTAGAAAATGTTTCTAATTTTCTCCTTTTTTTTAGATGCCTGTGAGTTCTTTTTTCTTCATCGTCTTGTTTAGTCATTTTCCTTTGATGTTTCCAGCCTCATGCTTACTGCCATCACTGCTACTGAAGCTATCACTGTCTTTCTCTTCATTACTGCTTGGCATATAGTCACGATCTTTGGGATCACTCATATCTGTGTCACTTATTATGTTTTCAGTGTCCATATTTGGTTGAGCCATCTTATAAGCTATGTACTGATATTGGTCACTGGTGTGTGATGATTTTAGAACTTCTAATTTTCTCCTTTTTGGGATGCCTACAAGTTTTTTTTCTTTGTCCTCTTGTTTATTAGTCCCCTACCGGTTTACCGGAGGGGACTTTAGGTTTACCCTCCGTCCGTCTGTCTGTCCGTCCGTCCGTCCGTCCGTCCGTCTGTCCGTCCGTCAGTCCGTCCGTCCACAAAACTGGATCCCGCAATAACGCAAAAAGTACTGAAGATATTTTAATGAAACTTGATATATGGATAGATGGCAGTATGGAGATTATGCACGTCTTTTTCTTTTCTTCCTATGTTGAAAATTCTGGTTGCTATGGCAACAAATAGACTGAAAATATGGCAAATTTTACACATAACCTGGATCCCGCGATAACGCAAAAAGTACTGAAAATATTTTTATGAAACTTGATATATGGATAGATGGCAGTATGGAGATTATGCACGTTTTTAGCTCGACTTTTCTATGAAAAGGGGAGCTATCCTACTCGCCCCGGCGTCGGCGTCGGCGTTGGCGTCACACCTTGGTTAAGTTTTTCGTACCACCCCACTTTATTTCAGAAGTATTACAAGTATGGCTTTGAAACTTACCATACTTGTTCACCATCATAACCTCCATCTACAGACAAGAGTACATAACTCTGTCAAGGTTTTTGACAGAATTATGGCCCTTTTTTGACTTAGAAAGTGTATTGAGCTTGGTTAAGTTTTTTGTACCACCTCACTTTATTTCAAAACCATTGGAGGTATTGCTTTGAAACTGACCATACTTGTTTACCATCACGACCTTCATCAACAGACAAGAGGACATAACTCTGTCAAGGTTTTTGACAGAATTATGCCCCTTTTTGACTTAGAAAATACATTGAATATGGGTAAAATCCACTTATTGCCTTAACCCTTTGAGATATTGCTTTGAAACTTTTAATGCTATTTCACATCATTACCCCCATCTGTACGCAAGAGAAGGTAACTCTGTCAAGGATTTGTTTTAAAAATTAAGGCCTTTTATCGACTTAGAATCTTGGTTAAGTTTTTAGTACCAGTCCACTTTTTGACTGAACTGTTTGAGATATTAATTTGAAAGTTGGAATACTTGTTTACAATCATGATTCCCAACTTGTATTGCCTTTTACTGCAAAAACTTTTTTTATTGGCAAGCAATAAAAAAGTCGAGCACGCTGTCTTACGGACAGCTCTTGTTTTCTTTTCTTCCTATGTTGAAAATTCTGGTTGCTATGGCAACAAATAGACTGAAAATATGGCAAATTTTACACATAACCTGGATCCAGTGATAACACAAAAAGTACTAAAAATATGTTTATGAAACTTGACGTATGGGTAGATGGCAGTATGGAAATTATGCACATTCTTTTTTATCTTCCTATGTTGAAAATTCTGGTTGCTATGGCAACAAATAGACTGAATTTCAAGGTTTCTTATTCTAGTTTTTAAGTTTTTTCACTATAAGTTCTTTATTTTTTAAGGTATTTTCTTCAAACTTTAAGTATAAGTTGCTTGTCATCAACCACATCATATGTGACAAGGTTTACAACTCTAGCACAAAATTTATCAGAATTACCTCCCTTGAACTTAAAATTTTCATGAAAAAAACATTGTTTTTTTTAATAACTTCTTTTTCTGAATGTATCTACTTCAAACTTCATATAAATGTTTCTTATTGTCACTCAACATTTGTGAGTGTTCAATACTCTAGCAAGACTATTTCCAGAATTATGCCCCTTTTTAACTTAGACTTTTTTTTGAGAAATTGGTAATTTTTACTCCAACTTCTTCAATCATGAAAGGATTTTAAAAATGTTATATTTTGATAACAGGGATGTTTAAAAAATAACTTTAGAGTGTCCTGCAGTCCGTCTGTCTGTACATAAAAACTGTTTCCTGTGATCATTTTTAAAGAACTTTTTCAACAAATTTACTTAAAATAGGAACCTAAGTGAATGGCCAATGGCCCTTCAGAATGTTGCTTGGGCTCTTACCGGTAGGGGACTTATGGATTGCTTGCAATACTATGATAATTGCTTGTTCTTTTTCCTTTAATGTTTCTAGCCTCAGGCTCACTGCTATCACTGCTACTGAAGCTATCTGTATTACTGCTTTGCATATAGTCACGATCTTCGGGATCACTCACATCTGTGTCACTTATCATGTTTCAGTGTCCATATTTGACTGAGACTTCTGTAAATTGGATATTGTCATTTGAAACTGATCTCTGATGACAGTTCATCTGAATCTGAGACATAATCCAGTTCACACAGACCTGAAAAAAGGCATGTAAAGACAAAATATTTGACGACACAGAATTTTGTTTTGCGAGCGGATACTCATACTGATAGAAATATTGTTAAAAATTAGATCCAATAACTTCACCGTTCATCGCAAATTCATTCTGCAATGATCGATAAGCCAGAAGTTTCCGATTCTGGATGATTTCCAATGATTGGTAATTTCCCGCTTGACTATTGTTGTAGATGAAAGGCGAAGTTTCAGTATGGCAAAATATGTGTATAACATCTTCAGCACAGATTATTTGCAAAGTTCAAGTATCTTCATATACCTAATGAGCATAGTTACACTGTTTTTATTCTATGCAGACCATGTGCCTTTTTATTGAGAGAATTGTTTTAGATAAATTGTGTTGGATATTTTGTTGTTTGTTTTGTTGGGTTTTAAGACACACCAACACATATTAAGTTATATGGCAACTAGTGAAGGAAGACTCTGGTGCCCCTTTGGGCATATTTTATCATGAGCTAGCACCTGGGTAGATCCACCGACCTTCCGTGAGCTAGCTGGATAGCTTACACACATATAGAATTTTACATCCCATTCACGCTATCTGAGGGACAAGTGACTTGAAGTCAGCGAGTCAAACCACTGTGCCACGGGTATTTTGTTGGACAAAGTGTGCTGGCGTATTTGTTGAACAGTGAGCTTGGTTATTTGTCAGACAATGTCTTTGGTAATGTGTTGGACAAAGCATGTTGGGTAATTTGCTAGATATATATTGAGAGAATTTTTAGACCAATTGTGTTGGGTTTTTTTGTTGAAAAATGTGTGTTGGGTATTTGATCATAACGTCAGCGTGTGTAGAATTAAAACCGGCCGCAGAGAATGACAAATTTTATCCAAATCATCTACTATCACGTACAGGGTATATGCCAAACTTAAAAGCAATTACCTTCCGGAACAGGGATTTTGGGTTCAACACTCGTACAACCAGCCTGGTCCTCCGGAATCTCTGTTTTGGCCTCATCCTGTACCTCACCATTTTCTCCTGGATCAGGAGCAGTTCCCTGGATCTGCACCTCACAACTTGTTAACTCCTGACATTCTTGCTCTCCCTCAACTGTATCTGGTCTCTCTAAAATGAACGTATCACAGTCAAATATTGGTCATTTTTGAGTTTAGTGTTAGTATAGTCAGTTTAGACGGAAAAGGGATGTCGGGTATTTTTGT